ATCACATGGGAAGTCGGAAACAAGCAATCAAGTATTGATTATTGTCTCATGACTGAAGGAATTTACCACAAACTGACAGAAATGAGGATAGACGAGGAAGGCATTAACAGCTTGGGTAGTGATCATAAACGAATAACATTACAAATGGGATACGAAACTGAAAATATGAGCATGGAATCAAAGTCTGGCAGCTCGTATTTAAATGACAAACAAATAATAAATATAGCCGCAAGAGTCGAGGAAGAAGTAGGCGAAATACCAGGCAAGGACTGGGAGTATAGTGAGCTGTTACATCTAATGACGAAGGAGATAGGGAAAGAGAAGAAAACTGTTTGCTGGAAAGGAAAAAGGAAGCCAAAAAGTTGGTGGAACAAGGAAATCCGGGAGGCGATCGAGAAGCGACGCGAAGCCTCACGGGAGCATAGAAAGGCAAAAAAGGAGAAGCGGCCGCAGGACGAAGTCAAAAAAATATGGGAAATATATTTAGAGAAAAAATCCCTTGTACAGAAATTGGTAGAGGCAAAAATTAAAGGTGAAAGTGAACGCTGGATGACAGAGATACACGAAAAAAAGGAGGCCGCGCCTAGGATTTTTTGGAGCCACATAAAGGCGCTAGGTAGGAAGTCTGTCACAACGCAACAACATATTCTAGATGAAGGAGGAAATCAATTGGAAGGGTACGAAGCGCTAGGTTACATCCAAAAGGTAACAGCCGATTCGTTTCAAAAGAGCGTCCAGGGGATCTCCCCGGTGAGTAAAAGTGTGGCGGAGAAAGCAACAGAGGAAGAGCTAGTACTTGATAATTTCAACTGGAAAAAGGCCGAAGGAAAAATTCCAAAGCGCACTGCCGCGGGTTTAGATGGGATTCCCGTTAGCCTCATTAACGAACTAGGACATAACACTAAAGAAGCATTGTTAAAAGCAGTAGAAAAAAGCTTAAAGGACGGACAAATACCGGACAGTTGGCGACAAAGTAGAATGAACTTAATCTATAAAGGCAAGGGAGAAAAGGACAAGATTCGCTCGTATAGACCACTAACCATTACATCGGTACTATACAGGATGGCGATGCAAGCAGTAAAAATGAAAATAGAAACATGGGCCGAACATAACGATATTTTGGGAGAACTTCAGAACGGATTTCGAGTCGACAGGCGGTTAGACGATAACCTGTTTGTTCTCACTCAGTGTATAGAAATATCTAAAATAGAGAATAGGCCCTTGTACGTGGCTTTTCTAGACATCACTGGTGCATACGACAACGTTAATCAGGAAATGTTGTGGGATATATTGAAAGGAATGGGCATGGGCGACGACTGTATACAGCTTTTGAGGGAGATATACCGAGAAAATACAGTTTGCATAGAGTGGGAAGGAATGCGTAGCAAAGAGAACGTTGAGGTTAGCAGGGGTCTGAGACAGGGATGTCCTTTGTCCCCGCTGCTATTCATGCTGTACATGGTGAGTATGGAAAAAGCGCTAGAAGGTAGCAACATTGGTTTTAATCTGTCACACAAACAGGGCGGCATGATGATTGAGCAGAAGCTTCCAGGTTTATTTTATGCGGACGATATCGTCTTATTTGCGGACAGTCGAGATGATATACAGCAGCTGGCGAATATATGCGGAAGGGAAGGTGAAGCTCTTGGACTAGGATTCAGTGTAACGAAGTGTGGATTGATGGTATTCAATGATCCCTGTGATCAGACGGTGTCCATACAAGGCCAAGAAATACCGAGGGTAAGTGAATACAAGTACCTTGGAGTATGGGTAAATGAGAGTGATAGATACATGGAGGTACAGGAAAAAGCCTCGGCAGCAAAAGGAAAGAGGAATGCGGCAATAATGAAGCACAGAGCGTTGTGGGGATACAATAGGTATGAGGTGCTTCGAGGTCTGTGGAAGGGTGTAATGGTTCCAGGGCTTACTTTTGGGAACTCAGTGGTGTGCATGAGGGCAGAGGTGCAAGCGGGAATGGATGTAAATCAAAAAACTGTGGGACGCCTCGCGTTGGGTGCTTACGGGAAGACGACAAACGAGGCTGTAAAGGGCGATATGGGGTGGGCAGGTTTTGAGGCGAGGGAAGCGCAGAGCAAAATAAGGTTCGAAGAAAGGCTAAGAAATATGAAGGAGAGTAGATGGGCAGAGAAGGTGTTCCGTTATTTGTATAGGAAGAGCGTGGACACACAGTGGAGAAAAAGAACTAGAAGACTCACTAGTAAGTATACGGCTGGTATTGTAAGCCGTATGTCAACAAAGAGCGTTAAGGGAAAAGTCAGGGAGGCGGAGAGGATTTACTGGATGGCAGCTATGGAGAAAAAACCGGCTTTGAGTAACTACCGAAAGGGCAAAAATGAAATAAGGAGGGAGGCATTTTACGATAATTCAAGGGGAAGCGCTTTACTGTTTGAAGCGAGATCGGGTTGCCTTAGAACGCGTAGTTATAAAGCAAGATTCAGTAAAGAAGAAGAACAATGCACATGCTGCGGGAAAGATAAGGAAACGGCGGAGCATGTTCTGATTGAATGTGGAGATATCCACCCAGGTGTACGTTTGGGCACGAGCCTACAGGAAGCCTTGGGTTTTAGGGACAACAATGGAAAGCTGAACACACCCGCGATTGAAATAAGTAAGAGACGGTTAGAGTATTGGTGGCAGAAAATTAGAGAGAAAGGACAAAAATAAATATTGGAAAAATAAAATATGGACAGTGTGCCGTAAATGGCAGAGAACTTAAGCTGAAAATTTACCTTTTTTTCCATTAAGATAGAATTTATCGAAGTAGAGGCATTAGGCCAACATAAAAGAAAAAAAGGTTTTTTTTTTTTTTGTCGAGCCTGGTGGCATACTTGTCACCACCCCGTTATAAAGGGGACGCTCATAGCATCCATCCATCCTAGGCGAGGCGCGGTCACTTGGTGATTCAGCGCGTTAGTTCAGCACGTCTGCCGGTATCCTGCGCATCGCTTTGTCTGCAGCTACTGTACTGCACGTGTACCGGTATACTCTGCTCTGCATTTTCTCGCACGGACCGTTGTGGAGCAGCTGTCTTTACCTGTTCAGGTATTCCGTACCAACAAACATGTAACTCGTGACATGTCGAAGCGGAGGACGGATTCACACTGTTTTGCTCCAGGTTGCCGAAGCGGCTACCCGGGCGCCCCGAAGGCATCGTTGTTTGCAGCTCCTAGAGAAGACGATCTCCGCAGAAAGTGGGAGCGTAACCTCCGGAGGGATGACAAGCCTCTGACCGAAACATCAGCGGTGTGCGAACATCACTTCGAGCCAAGATATATTCTGCGCGAAATATGTGCACGTGATAAATGGCTGTGAAGTGCGCACTCCCCGAGGAAAACCGTCATTGGTGCCTGATGCCGTGCCAACGCTTTTGCCAGGTTGTCCAGCGTACCTTTCCGTCGCTGCGCCCAAGCAAAGACCCGAGAGAAGGAAAGCAGCCAAACCTCCTGAAGGCGCAAGCAGAAAACGGCGCAGGCCTGATGCACCTGACGAAGTGTGCGACGGCGGTGAAATGGAAGGCATGGACTTTAATGCTGCCACTAGTGCGCGACTTTCAATTGAAGCTATTCGCACACTTGAAGTTCTTGCAAACTACTGGTGTCGTATAGAAGCAGTTGGCCACTGCGATCTAATATTTGTGACGACAGTGATAAGCAAGCGTACAAAACTGGATATTTTTCATGAAAAAGCTGTGTGCTTTATGTCCACAGAAGGAAAAATTGTAGCCCAAGTCTTCTATCAAGGTGTTTTGTGTCAAGAGAAACCCGTGCAATCCCTTGCTGAGGCCACATCCGTATTGGAAGAAGCTCGAGAAAGCCCTGTCTGCGAGGGAGCAATGTGTAAACAAGAATTCAAGCCGCTTTCCTCTCGGCTGACCGCACATCATCGAGCTGAAGCAAACACTGCTGGACGATCCGTGATCAGCGTACGCTGCTTCGGAAAAGTTTCTTCTGAAGGTAAGTAGACGTAAAGTGCATTAGGATGCCCATAACATTACCACATTGCCTCAGGCATTGAGGGGTGTGATTTTAACGTATGCATTGTTTGTTCATTTGCAGGCTCAAGTTGTGCAGAATGCAAGTCCCTTAGGAAAGCGTTACTGACAAGAAAGTCGTACATTAACTGTCGTGTACACCTGCCTGTAAAGAAAACCCTTTCTTCACGACTGACGCAACAAAAGAAGAAGACAGCACGTCTTCAAAATCAGGCATGTGTGCTTAAGAAAAAGTTGAGTGTCATGCTTGCCAAGAATGTGGCAATCGCAGAAGAAGATTTCAATGCAAAAGTAGCTCTCCTACCAAAGAAGCAGCGTGAGGCAACTCTCCACATATTCAAAGCTTCTTCACGGAAGAGTACTAAAGGCATGATATTTTCAAATGAGTGGGTGCTCGAATGTTTGATTATGAAGCTGAAAAGTGCAAGGTTGTATGAGCACTTGAGAAAAGAAAAAATCTTAGTTCTCCCCAGTAAGACTACGCTTCGAAAATATTTAAAATGCTACAGAACTGGGTTTGGATTTAGCAATAAAATCTTTGATGTGCTGAAGCAAAAGACTTGCACTATGGACGAGTTTTTATGCCATGGAGGACTCATCGTGGATGAACTGAAACTCTCGGAGCACCTCTCAGTGAACAGTGAAGGCCGCATTGATGGCTTCGTTGACTTGGGACAGTTTACGTCTGACAAGGATAAGCACAGTGTCTGTAATCACGGTATGGTGATAATTTTTGTGCCCTTTGTTGGCAAATGGACGCAAATACTCGCTGCATTTGCGACTCATGGAAACATAAATGGGAACCTGCTGACGAAGATAATGCTTGAAGCCGTCATTTTAGTTGAGAAGGCCGGACTCAAGGTTGATTTCATTACGTCTGATGGTGCCACTTGGAATCGGAAAATGTGGTCTGTGATGGGCATCAAAGCATCACTGACAGAAACGAAATGCAGCACATTGCATCCAGTGGACCCAACGCGCATACTCCATTTTCTGTCGGACTTTCCTCACTTAATTAAGTGCCTGAGGAATGGACTACTAAGGTCGGACTACGAAACACCTGAGGGCCGGGTAAGTTGTTTTGATCACCAAGCATGCTGTACAACTTTATTGATACAATCTGTTTGTTTCTAACAGTTTCTCACTTTGGTATTCCTTTCAGGTATCTTTACAATTCGTACGCAAAGCTTTGGAACTGGATGGTTGCAGTGTCACATTGCAGGCAATGCATGGAATCACCGGAAGCCACACGAACCCCAACAATTTTGAAAAGATGAGAGTATCTTTAGCTTTTCAGCTTTTCGGAGAAAAAGTGATTCATGGTCTGCAGCTGTACAAGTCAGGAATTGAAGATACCTGTGGTGACATCACAGCTACACTAAAGTTTTTCAAGTAAGTGTCATCACATTGTGGTTTTATTGCGATTGCACCTTTCACCTTGCATATGACAGTCTGACTCTTGCTCACAAACACAGATTCATCCTGCTTTTGTTCATTTCACAGGATCATCCATGACCTTGTGCAAATGATGACTTCACGATTCCCAGCTGAAGCGCTGCGCCCAAGTTCAGCAAGTGTTGAGAAGCTGCGATCGTTTCAGGAGTATCTTTCATCATGGGAAGACCACACGAAGGGGCAGAAAGGATTCCTGAGCCAGTCAACAGCAGCTGGGCTGCGAGTGACAGTGTCAAGTGTGCTTTCTTTGCTTCAGTATCTCACTGAGAAACTAGGCTACAGGTACTTAATGACATCTAGAGTAAGCCAAGATCCTGTTGAGCATGTTTTTGGCATTGTCAGGCAGTCGTCTGGATATAACACGCACCCAACACCACAGCAGTTTATTAGCACTATCAACTGCTTGAGCTTCAACAATCTTGCTCACTCAGCTTCAAAGGGAAACTGTGAGCCTGCAGTGCTCCATGCCCTTCTACCCGCAAATTCAGGTGCTGAAAATGTTCCATCTGGTAAACAGCGCTTAATGGACAAGTTTATAAACTGTGACAATGTAGCTGCCGTGCAGAGCTCGCTCCCACAGAGTGCGCCAGACCATGCGTCATGCATTATATCTGCCAGTGACAACCGGCTAACATTTTATATAGCAGGATATGTAGCTAGAAAATGCCTACTGAAGTCTGGCTGCGAAGAGTGCCGTAAACTTCTTCTAATGCAAAAGGAGTCTGCTGAAAGTCTCAAACACCTTGTGCAATTGACACACATGAAAGACAGAGGTGGCCTGCTTTATCCGTCTAGCCTGTTGTTTAAGTTTGTTCATGATTTAGAAAAAGCCTTCGCAACGTGTTTCAGTTTGCTGGAGCTGCACGCTGATAGCATACTCGACATTTTAGGCGAAGTTAAGGCAAAGCAAAAAAAATGGGCTTGGTTGTCGTGACCATTCTGAAGTCATTGCAGCTGAGGTCATCGTTTTTTACATCACTACTCGTCTGCATTTCCTAACTAAAAGCGTAAACCAGAATAGTGCTAAGAAACGAGAATCAGCCAAGCACCTAAAGCTCAGTAGATGTTAAGTTCTGCACATGTCCATCTCACGTGTCTTCTTTTTTGCGAATCCTCGTAATAGTTTTGAAAAGCTGTTAAACTAGTGAAATTTATTTTGTTATTTTGTATTTTTTGTACTCTTCCAACCATCACAATAAATAAAAAGATGTTCCTGTTTTCATTTTCGATGCTGAGCACTGTGTCCTTACCATGACCTTCTATGTAATAAGCCAGCACCAAAACTATAGTGGAAGCGCGCCGTAAGCTTTTGATGGTGATGAGCAATCGCTTTGTAGCGAATGTTATTAACGCGTGTGGTAAATATGAATATATATATATATATATATATATATATATATATATATATATATATATATATATATATATATATATATATATATATATATATATATATATATATATATATATATATATATATATTCTTGGCCAAACTATGTATATACAAACCGCTGAGCCACGCAATACCTAACCTAGCAATTTTACGTTTGCATGAGCCAGGAAGCAAACACGCGCGTTAGAATTGACCATAGCTGCAACTCAGAAGGAGCCAGCGACGGCCGGTCAACGCAGCCGAAGCTCCTAGGAAATGGAGCAGTGGCGCCACCTCGCGCCATCCGTGTGAAAGGCTGGCGCCAGAGCCTGGCCGGTCGCACCACTAGAGTATTTCTAGTTCACTATAGTTGGTACTGACAAGTATCACCAATGCTGAGGCGGCCCAAAGAGCTCCGCCGCGCCCTCTATTCCAGTTTCGGGTGCCTAGAGACAATAATCGCAAGCCATGCGACGGCGTCGATGCAAGAATGATGCCATTGCAGCGTACCAGAAGTGGCGCAGGTCCCTGCCCACGCCACACCGATCTGTTCTGCGCTCTGCAAGTGTGCGCGTCAGGGCCGCGCAACAGTGCTATTGAATGAATCCCGCCTGGTTGTCGCTCGTACTGTAGCTCGTCCGCTTTCTCACCTCAGCATTCGTCATCGGAGAGAACGTCCGGTTGCCAGCCTGGTAGGCGTCTAGCGCACAGGCACTCGTCGACGGCATGCAGTGCCCGTCGGAAACACGGACAGCTTTGGCACTCACCAATGCATTCCTAACGATCTGAGAACGTGCAGACGAGTGTCACACAGCGATACTTTCAATTAATATGGGACAAGTTAGGAAACACAAATACCTCTTGTCGCCGACGCTTCTCGAACGCTGGTCGGGGCTTCCCGCTGGCGGGTTAGCGGTGACTAAATATAGTAGGCACCACGCCAGGCTTTAACATTCTTTTCATTTTGAACGGCAATTTGTCGAAGATAGAACGGTCGTGCACGAAGTCGTCGTCCTGGAAGTGCGCTGAGCAAAGCACCGAATGACTCGACGGCTCCCACTTCTCTCGCCGCGCTGCGATAACCCACAACTTACGGAGCTTTGCACTCTTCGGAAAAGCGTGAAAGCTGATCTCGGCCGCGGCATACGTGTTCTGGCAGCCTACAGCCACGCATGTTGCTGGCATCGTACGTATAACAATATAACACGCGTTCTAACCTCGCAGCTCGTACGCTGACCAGAAGAAACGAGGCGTATGGATATATGTCATTTCCGGCTCTCTACGATTTGCCTTGGTTCGTCACTAGAGCTCCGGCACTCCGCATTAAAGCTGATTCTGCCTGCAGGTCAAATATAATTTCAGCTTTCTTCAGATCCACGATTTGTCTTAAGTGCAGTCAGGACCAACGCCTCCTCTAGAAAGATGCCTGAGGAATGGCTCGCGCTCCTAGCAGAGTTGGCCTGCCTTCAGCTTTAAACAAGCGCTGCGCAGTGGCGCTCGCGACCGACACTATCATCACGGCAGCCCTTCCTCCGTGACGGCAGCGGACGGTCCCAGCTAAGCGTTTTTCATCTGCGGCCCACTATGGCGCGTCAGTCAGGAGTTGTTCGAGAGCTGCAATTGTACACCACTGTTTCAGAGGCTATGCAAAGTGTTGCGTTGTTGCACCGCCTGCCGCAGATGACGCTAGCGACCGAGAACATTCTTGGATGAAAGAGGAAAAGGGTGTGGCAGCTGTTTTTCTTCCTCATACGACACGCATCCAAATAGAGGAGGTGTTGTCAGGACCTGCCACTGCGCTCGAAAACATCGTCGCAAGGACCAATTCGTCAGGCAATAAATAGTTTTATTGCATAAGTGTTTCCGGAGTCGGACACCGTTTCAAGGATCTAAGTTTTTCTCACTAAGGGAAAATTTTGGGAAAAGAAGGCTGCATGTACTTCCGGGTTTGTCGCATTCACGCGTCGGCTTTTATGAAAGGAGGCGTTTTTAGCAGAGTATATTTCCTCCTTTCAGGGCTAATGCAGGGCCGACGTCACAGCTTCGGCCCTGCATGAGCGCGAGAACAGAACGCCGACACAAAGACAACAAGGACAATTTTGGGGATAGCATGAACAGTATAACTTTATTCTGAGTTCCGAACCACAGTGACTCTCAGAATAGCGACCAAACCGCGCTCCTTCGCGGGACTACAGTGACAAGAAACGAAACCGTACATACGCAAACCCAGCCAGGTTTCATGCAAAAATTGTAACTGCCAGGTAACATGTGGCCTTTGCGATTGGGTCGCCCAAGTAACTTCCGGAGCATATCGCAAAGGCTACGTTTTAGTTGCTTTAGTTTTCGTATGTTCCATGGATGAATGAATGGATAAAAGGTTGGATGGATAGATGGATGTGGCTGTGCCCTTCAGATCGGGTGGTGGCTAATGCCACCAAGCCGCAATACTTAGTGAACCGAAAACTAGATTTATTTTTGTCCTTCAAATAGTGAAGTTGAGGAGTCGTACTTTGCAGTGAATGGTTTAATTTTCACTCGTGCCTTGACTTTAGCCACCAATCACATAACCTCCTTCTAGTTAAGTCTACCCGCTTAAAGTCTATTTTGCCCTCCCGGTCCCTAAACCCCAGTGCCTTTGAAAACTCTTTGCCATCATCCTCAACTATAGGGTGAAGCCCTTTACAGAGCATTATCAAGTGTTCGGCAGTTTCTTCTTCCTTTCTACATGCACCGCATACTGTGTCTACCCCTTCGTATTTGGCCCGATATGTCTTGGTTCGCAATACTCCCGTCCTGGTCTCAAACAGTACAGAACTACCCCGAGTATTATCATAGATCCTTTCCTTGGCGATTTCCTGCTTAAAAGTTCGATAGATCTCCAGTGCGGACTTCTTAATCATGCCGATTCTCCACATATCGGTCTCCGTTTCCTTCACTTTGTTCTTAATTTGATTTATTTGTGGGGTTTAACGTCCAAAACCACTATATGATTATGAGAGACGAAGTAGTGGAGGACACCGGAAATTTCGACCACCTGGGGTTCTTTAACGTGCCTTTCTTCTTAACCAATAGTTCTTTTTGGTTTGGCCACCTGCTGTTTTCTAAGTACTTACCAGTCCATTTCCTGGTTCGCTTCCTCCATTTTGTATCGACATTCTTCATGTACAAGTACCTGAAAACCTTCCTAGCCCAACGCTCCTCCCCCATTTCTCTCAATCGCTTCTCAAATTTTATCTCGCTGCTAGCTTCCCTGCCCTCAAATGATGTCCATCCCATATCACCTTGTACTCCCTGATTTGGTGTATTCCCGTGAGCTCCTAAAGCAAGCCTACTTATTCCACGTTGCTCAATTTCTAATCTTCCTTGAACTTCTGATCTCATGCACAAGACCGCATTGCCGAACGTCAGAACTGGAACCATGACCCCTTTCCATATTCTTACAACATCATACCTATTGTAATTCCACAGTGCCCTATTCTTCATCACTTCTGCATTCCTGTTACCTTTAGTCGTCACGTATATTTCGTGTTCCCTTAGGTACTTGGTCCCATTGCTTATCCATACGCCCAGATATTCGTATTTATCTGTTATCTCTAGCGTGACCTCCTGTATTCTAAGCTCACTACCTTCATTGTCAATAAAAATCATTACTGCTGATTTTTTCTTACTGAATCTGAAATGTAACCTATCTCCCTCATTACCGAAGATGT